CGTAACATATGGCAATTCGATCGTCGGCGGCCGCAGTAGGTCCCACAGAGTGGGTGTAGTATCTGAAAATTGCGCGTGAATTAGCTTATAGCGAGGAAGACTTTTAAAGCAACTACCGCACACTCTCCCGCTTCAACGGCCTGGCAACGATCGGAAACGCTGCCGTAGTGAGAAACCCCAGACCAGTAACTCGTGTTATCCGGGAACGGTGGTATTCAGAAGTTTTGCGGGTGGGGAAATGGTAACTAGCAAAAACAAGTAGAGGTCGAAAGTTGCAAGTAGTTTATGAAGCAACACACTATTTACAAACCACTGTTGTAGCAGTTATGTCGCAAACCGTTTAACGAATGGCTAGTCACTACTAAGCGACCTATTTTCAAAACTCTAAGCAATCTACCATCGTTACTATTACCCATTTAGTTTTGCTTAAACAAATAAAACAAATGGATGAAAACGATAAAGAATAATTGATTTTTTTAATTAGGACATAATCGAATATCTACTAGCCAATAACCCTAAACCTAACCTTAGCCCTAACTTTTTCCTTAACCCTAACCTTGACACTAACTTAAACTCTAATCCCCCATACGTTATTGAATCCCAACAGTCAACTATACTTGGTCATCCTCAACAGTAATCATTCATACCTTAACAACAAACCATAAATCAACCTCCGTAGTCAAAAAGGCACTGCTGACACATAACGATACCAACAGTCTTTACCGCAAACGGAAAATATCCAAAATCCCTAACATGTCTGCCAAATACGATTTTTGCAACAATTATATAAACTAGGGACAAGGCAAGACAGCGTTTCCGGTCTCTGCCAACCACTCGTTTCCAATGGTCAGACAATACCAACAGGACCAGAAGTGGATTCAATCGAAGTAGCTGACAAAAGTAAACTAGTCATCTAAGCGCACCACACCATCTGGTTGCCTAGCGTGCACCAGACTGTCATAGGTTCAGTTTGGCTTTCACCTACGAAACCCACTGAATCCCAATATTAGATCCCCATTCAACCGCTCCATACACAAGTACATATCAACACGACTGAGATATCTGGTCATTTGGTAACCTCCGAGGCCAAGCTTTTTGGCACGTACTGATACATTCAAACACGTCTAATGTATTACAATGATAACTTTGCTGTTCGACGTGAAACCAGTAGTTCAGCAAACGAACAAAGGTTTTTACCATAAACTTCATATTTCCAGTTCCAGAGGCTTCCGTACCAGCAGTGGAAATCTGCTGAGACAATTCGGCAGCTGGGAAAATGTGTTGTGCAAAGGTCACGCGGTAGTTTGTCAAGAAGACTACCTGTAAAGGCACGAAAGAAAAGGAGTCCAATCAGATTTTTTGCTGAGAGGTCAAATGCCGTTATAGTTAATGATATTAAATAGCAAACTCGGTTGTCACTTACTTTTAATTTTCCGTTAACAGTTGAGTCATGATTAATTTTCTCAGCGACGCAGTTGACCAAGTTAATGATCATCTTAGCCATGTGGTAGCCGGGGGCAGCTTTGCCTCCGATCATTATTGTCCGTGGAACGATGTCAGCACGAGGATCCTTACGAATGCGATTATACAAGGTGATGACGTGGAGAACGTTCAGCAACTGACGTTTGTACTCATGGATTCGTTTGACCTGAAAGAGAAGTCGCATATGTGCACAATGTCTTCAATTCAGTTCAGTTTCATTAAGAAAAAATAGGCGAGCGGCCTGGAGGTCTCTATTGGTAACACAATGGCTAGAAAATTTATCGAGATCTAAGAAAAATCCAAAAGTACGTCAGTTATATGACTGCAGGCGAAAAGAGTGCAGCTGATGGTCAGCTGAAAGAATAATCATACACGACTACTCGCTTGACAAAAGGTGTATGATAATTATAAGTTGCATACACATTGCATGTGTATGCCATAGAAGCCGTTAAGTGTCTCCAAATAGGATGTAAACGAGGAAGAGATATGAAGTGGCTTATATTTAAGTTCATTTGGGTAGCACTTATACTTACCTGTATATCAAACAATGTATTTGGATCGATCTGAACTCCGAGGCTGTGATATAGGTAGTTGGCAAATTTCTGTTTGTTCTCATCCTTGATCTAAATAGGCAGGTGGAACGACTCAGACAATTTTCAATATACATGAGCTGAACATATAAAGTCCTGTTACAAGCTGTGAACTACTAAATGTAATTCTTACGACTTGACATGAATATTCGAATTTTATGTACGTATAGATAAAAAGACGGCTATTCGGCTGAGCTTCCGACCTCTTAATGAAATCCATCGTCGAAGGTAAAAGCGACAAGAAAACAAGCAGCAGTTACTGGAATAAGGGGCCAATCGAACACTAGTGACGCGACATAAGTCTTATCGACGTGGCTGCGAAGATTTTCACTCTTGTTCTTCTCAGGCTATTCCAGTCTCTGCGTGACTCTAGAACGTGGTCTTACCAAATCGGGGAGCGAATGACATTCTTCTTCTGCTTTACTTAATAAGCTTTCGCTATAAATCCGTTATCCTGGCTGGTATATTCAAGCTGTTTGCTATGCCGCGATTATGACTTTTCCCTAATTAATATAACTCGGTTTGCATAGACATTTTTGAATCTGACAGGATTTTGTAATTAATTATCATGCGGTCCAATCTAAAAAGTGCGGAAAAAACATAAACGTGAAAATAGACTCTCCCTCTTTACAGAGCATAAATAAAACCATTAGGTGACATTTTTGTCAGTGATAATGCCGAAATTCTTAAAGCTTCATATTATAGAAATGAACATGGCTAAAAGTGCAGAGGAAAAACACTGAAAGGACTATTTACCAGGGAAAGGTAGGAAGCCTTACCGTCAGGAGATTCTGGAGAACTTCCCCATCGTCTGCATACCTCTTGAGATCTTTAATCCGTTCGAAATCAATGACCCATTCCTCGCCGAGTTTGTCATTTAGTAGTTTGGAGAGATTCGGGTTACAGAGCTTCAACCAACGTCGTGGCGTTACACCGTTTGTCTTATTCTGGAATTTCTCAGGCCATAATTCGTAGAAGTCTTTGAAACTGTTGAGTTCGCCAATAAAATTACGTATAAAACAACTTACACTGAACGCTTCAGTAGCTCACTGTGAATGGCGGATACACCGTTTACGGCGTGCGAACCAATGATGCAGAGGTGAGCCGTATTAATCTTCTTAAAGCCATCGTCATTGAACATGGACATGCGGTTCAGTTTCCCAACATCGCCTGGGTAGCGTGTTTTAATCAACTGAAGAAAGATTTTGTATGAATAAGAGTCATGAATCGATAATGTTCGTCAAACAGCTTTTTATTGAAGTCATTAAGGTGTACTTTTAGAGGAACTAACAAGTCTACACTAACGCTAAATGGTGACAGTACGCTACAATTAGATTTAACCGAATATACTTGGAGTTTTTTTTGAGATTGAAAATGTATACTTCCGTTTTACTCACCTCAAGGAAGTCGTAATTTATTTTGTACAGAATTTCCAGGTGGCGTGGGAGCATTCTTTCTATCATATCTACTGGCCAACGTTCAAGAGCCTCGGGCAAGACGGTGTGGTTGGTGTACGCAAAGATTTTGCTGACCATATCCCAGGCCTGTTTTTGCAAGAAAAATAATTAAGCATTTAGCCGAGTATTTGAAATATCGAAACACAGATATACAATGATCAACCTACTAGCAGGATGAAATATACATAACATCGAGCACCTACCTAATCTAGGAATATCACTACAAAAGCTGGGGTCATCCAAATGAGACGCTAAGAACTGTCTGCCATTATTAGCTAATAAAATCCCAACTGCAAACCGAGAACTATCCCAAAGCGGATTAATAAGTGCTTGCCTCTCAAGAAAGATTTTTAACGTTCCTTAGAAAATAATGGGTACACTTTGAGCAAACTGCTCTTGACAACTATTTTAAGGTTCGGGTCGAAATTAATATTTTGACACAAGATCCACCAGTTTTGCCGGAGGAATGAAAAATTCACAGGCCGCTGTAGTAGACTTTTGCTTTTGCAACGGATATTCAAAACCAGGTGCTCTTATGCACGGTTTACTTGGGATTAGAAACTTAGCAGTGTTTAAGTCATCTAAGCGAAATAAATGCATAATTATCGACTGAGAGTTTAATACAGATCCTAAGAAACTACCAATACCAATCATAAAGGCCTGACGACTACGGTTAAAACACACAGCATGATCAAAATGCTTACGCATTTTACTTTGGAGTTTATGCAGACGTCAAAGGTGGCAAACTCTGTCCTTGTACCCAAAAGGGTACGCTAAAACATGTATCAGGTGCCTACGAACTGGCCAGCATCGTCTCAGCCATCTCAGCTGCCTCCAGAAAAGCACCTTGCCTTTTGTGAATTATTGTTAGTTTTCCCAATACATTCGATTAAGTTCTGATAATACAAATCAAAACCACTATGTCATTATGTTTTCAATTGGAAACGGGCTAATCAACTTGCGGTATAAGTGTCCCGCAGTCTTTTCAATTATCCAATTTCAACCACCGCTCTTTAATGCAGTATGAGAAGAAAACGTGCTCTGCAGATATAAAAAGACTCAGTTTGGAATGAGGACAAGTGACCGCCATTCATCTGTCAATGCTTATCACATATGCAAACATGGTCATACTGCTATCGTTCGTTGCAAGTTCACCTTCTTGTAACTCTACTTTTCAATTGTGAAAAGCAATTATTACTTTAAAAAAGTTTTTTAGGAACACAGTGTTCGATTTTGCGCCTAAACGCAAAAAAATGTGTTTAAAATGGTCTGGGAGCCGTTGCAGATTATTTGCAAAATATTAGCAGTGTTTTCACTTGAATGTCTACGTAAATGCTTAGAATTTAAGATACAATCTCAGTCTGCAGCTGTCTTCTGAGAAATAAATTCTTTCTCAACCTTGAAGACTGCTTGTATGTTCACTGTGTTAAAGAAACTGCATTCATACAGGCATAATTAACAACCTATCGAGCACATCCGCATGCGTCAGTTGGCTTCTGTTCTATGCCACAGAAACTTCCGATTGACCCACTTATAGCCCAGGTTTTAATTGAAAACTTCCACGTATATATTACCGGAAAGCGAAAATATTAATATCAATATTTTACCTTGTACCAGTCAATGCATTCGCGATCAACGAGAAGTCGCATCATCTCGGGAATCGCCATAGACGGATGTGTGTCATTTAGCTGAACAGCAGCTTTTTCGGGCAACTGACTAAGTGCCTTCCTTCGAGGTCCATGCTCATCAATCATCTGATAACGGCGTACCATGTCCTGACAAGCAGCCGTGCAGAGGAGATATTCCTGTTTCAAGCGCAGTTCTTTGCCCTCAAAGCTGTTATCGTTGGGATAGAGCACGCGAGTGATGTTTTCAGCAACATTCCTTTGGAGAACGGCCTATTAAAAAGAACGATTCCAGAAAAGCTTCAATGTCCCTAAGCGGAATTAATTAAATTTAACAAACAATCTTGACATTCAGGAGTAAAAACTGATAAATTTAAAGGTATAGCACTTTGCCCAGTTTTGCGTAAAAATGCACGTAAAAAGCTTGAAGCGTCTTTATCAAAACTTACGTTGATATAAGCACCCGTATTGAAAATTTCCAAATCAAAATTCTTCGGTGCTTTGCAGCCCCAAAGGCGCAGTGTGCAGCAAACATTGCACATATACCCAGGTATGGGGGTATCATAAGGCACAGCATAAACGTTCTGAGTATCCCGCCAAGATCGGCGATCCCCTACAACCTCAACGCGACCGTAATATTGCACTGTAAAAGCGAACTCTTGTCGTACACGTTCCCAGGGATTTCCAAAGCACAGCCAATCATCTGGTTCTTCGTACTGTTAATGAAAATATAAATATATTTATTAGGCACAGTAGGAAATTTCAGCTCGTCAAATGCTTTACATCAATTAAATTGTGTAGAAAGCATTCGCTACTTTAAACCTGTCTAAAATGCTAGCCCTTCTGTTCGAAAGTGGGAAATGTAAAAAGGGCTACGTTCAAGCAGAATCATTATATGAAACTTCATAAGACAAAACGCCTAGTTATAAGACAATAACTATAACTTTCAAATTTCAAGCCTCAGAGAAGGTTTAACCTTCTGCACAAAATGAATGAAATTTGTTATTTACTAAATTTCTGCTCATCATATCATACTCCAAAGCTCCTTTTGGGACTATTCCGGGTACGAAAACACGCGTTTATATCTCCATTTTATTGATGATGATCAAATTGTTCCAGTTTTATTGTAACTTAGTGATGTCTTTCAAAATCGGGTAAGTATTAGATAACCCTATTACTAGGAAATAAGTAAACAAAGCATCTTCACCAAGTTTTCTAACTTAAAAATGCAAGTTGAACCGCATTTAACTACTGTAGAGAAGCTTAGGATTAAATAGTCCCCATCAAATGTACCATATACTTGCAATTCATATTTGTATGTATACGATCCGGCCAAAGTGTAAGCTGTCATTTCAAATTGTAGGAAATATATATTATATAAATAGTCTTACTAACAAATTTAACTCTGTCGGTGGTTTGCGGATAAACAAAACTCATCGCTGACGGCGCAATTTCTGAGATATTATCAATTGCTTAAATTAAGAGTGTTGCATTTGGGACTTTCGACACATATATAATCCAAAGAGTAGTCATTTATGATTTTGTGCCAACAACAACCTGAATCGAAGTTTTTGGAAGGGCTATTCACGAGTTCCTTAAATGAAGCGGGACTGACAGCTTATTCTTTCATAAAGTAATTAACCTTAGCGCGTACAGTTAATTTAATACTAAGGTCACCAGATCCGATCACATCAATATTTTCTGCGCATATTTGACGAACTTTACCGCCATTTGACGAAAAACGTAAGTTGAGTCTAGAACCACAAAACGAAGTCGTGACAAATTACCATCGCATATTTATCCTAACTTAGGCGCATACTAAAATCAAAAACCTGAAAAGTCCCTATGAGCCTTCGACAATTAAAATTTTATAAAGGACAGTTAACCTTAGTCACATCACAGATTGTTTACTTGACTGCCTGAAGCATTTGTTCTGTGTTTTTCTATAATTGAAGAAAAACTGCAGGTTTGCAGGATACAGAAAACGAACGTGATGTATGTAAGCGTTTTAAACCCTTTCGATACTTCGATAGGTGAAAACGTTTCCAGACTAATGTTCAATAGGATTGTATCCCACAAGAGATGTACTCGAAGAAGTCTTCATTATATATGACTTTGACATAAATAGCGAGGAACAGTTATTACTAAATACTGCGACGTCCTGTTGCGAGGAACAACTTTAAATTAATTATTAAATAATCAAATAGGATATCGCAATTCATGTACCAAACCTAATGCATGACAATCCCTTAATATTTTAATCGCGTGTATTACATATACGAACTGAAAGTAAGCTCATGTTACGAGCCACCTTAAAACACCTTTATAAAGGGGCAGTGTCACTGCGATATGCATGCTTACCTGCCAGCCATTACTCAGTTTTTGTTCGAAGATGCCATAGTCATAGCGGATACCGTAGCCGGTTGCCGCAAGCCCTAAGTTTGCCATGGAGTCCATGAAACAGGCTGCCAGTCTCCCAAGACCACCGTTACCCAGACCTGCATCTGGTTCACAATCTTCAAGTTCTTCTAATTCCAATCCAATCTGTTTGTATCAGAAGAAAATATTCCAAGAAATGTGACATTGATAACACATTAATGAATGCTTCCAGTTTGTGCAAACAGTTAAAAGAGCACATTGTTGAAGAAAATTTAAGGCAAAGGCCTGCGATTTTTTTTGAGAATATTTAAAGCCTAATGCTGAATGTCTGTTTTGAATTGAAGTAGAACTTTGCAGAAATAAAGTACGCCATTGAAAACGTACAAAAAAGCTCATTTTTGCATAAAACGCTAGGCAAAAAAGTATTCAGTTTATAAAAGTCTTATAGAAAAGACGTACATTTGAAAGAACTCTTGTAACAGGATCAAGAATCCCGAGGTTTAGAATGGCATTTCCCAGGGTGCGCCCAATAAAAAATTCAAGCGATAGATAATACACCCGCTACAAAAATGGAGGGGTTTTAAATAACCTACTTTAACGTCTCTTTTGTAAAAGTTCTGTTTTGAACGGAGCCATCTTACACTCATTCTGTCCCAGATCGTATTGGCAAGAGCCAAGTAGTAATCCCGCAGACTTGCAGTATTTGCATCTTTTGCAAGTGTGAGATGAATGTGTTTATTAATATCAGCTTGAATGCATTGCTCTGTATCATCTTGCGGTACGTAAGATATACTAATATTCCTGGCGCGGGACTCCATCTTAATATTTCTTATCTCTTAAGAGATATGGGTTACCGTGAGCTGTGCGGTGTTTTTAGGTGTTTAAAACAAAACGCATGACGCCGACGTAAACGCTAAAGCAGGTTAAGTGCTGCTTTTTATGCTGCTTACTGATTATAATTAGATATTGAATCTATATATTTCAGGAATATGTTACTGGAATTTGCCTTGACGTCCTTCGGACCATGGACTGCCCTCTAGATACGTAAGCCTATATCTGAAGACGCTGACTTTGTTGAATATAGATTTTGAACGTCTTAAGACACATGAACTATCAAACAATTTCCATTGATCAAGAAAACAAAGTAATATAGTTCTCATTTGCT